TTCTTTAAGGATCCCTTCAGCTTTAAATATCTGTGAATCTATTGATGCCACTATACTCAGATTGCTGTGGAATGCTGAACTGCCTTTACCTGGAATGACTGATCACTAGCAGAACTTAGTTGGGTTCAGTACATTATCAACATATGTCAAAAGATACAATGAAGGTATTTTATTATATAACTAGAGGTCCGGTGCACAGAATTCGTGCCTGGGGGTGGGTCCCTCAGCCCAGCCTGCACCCTCTCCAATCCAGGACCCCTCAGAGAATGTCCGACAACCAGCAGTCGGACATCCTTCTCTCAATTTTGGACCGCTGGCTCCTAACTGCTCACCTGCCTGCCTACCTGATTGCCCCTAACCACCTCTGCCGGCCAGCCTGATTGCCCCCTAACTGCCTTCTCCTGCTGGCCTGATCGCCCCCTAACTGTTCCCCCTGGCCTGATTGCCCCTAACCACCTCTGCCTAGGCCCCTTCCACAGTGGCTTTGTCCAGAAGGACATCCAGAAGATGTCCAGTTTAATTAGCATATTACCCTTTTATTAGTATAGATTCCCTCCCGTTTTATTCGCCTTGAATAAATGTATGGAAACGTCCCTATTCATGTTGTGAAAGGGACATTTCTCCTCACTTCACACAAAGATATCTTTCACATCAGTGTCTCTTAGAAAGCAATGAGAGACTTAGATGAGACCTGGAGATATGAATGGGGTAGGTGGAGAAGGGATGTGGGAGAGAGATGTAAGTTTCTGGGGAATTGTGCGGAGCAGACCTGGGAGTCAGGAAGTTAGAAGTCTAATTTCAGCTTTTCCACTGATTCACTTGGGACCTTGAGAATGTCAGGTCCATTTTCATTGTTCTGTGCCTCAGTTTCCTTACCTGCTAATTAGAGTGAGAGTCCTTGGCTGGGTGCCCAGGATTGTGAGAACATACTGTGCAGAGCCATGAAAATACAACCAGTCCCAAGAATGGAAAACATCCTAGTTACCAGACGTCCTGACTTAAAATGGAAATGTCAACAAGGCTAATTCCTTTAATAACCAAAATGTGAATGTTTTAAGAAGTATGTCTATCTGGGTGAAAATTAAGCAAATACCTCTAGCATGAGAGCTTGTCACCCCAGGAATGCATAAGTAAAAAGAGTTCAGGCTTGTGTGACCTTGAGTAATTTCTTAACCTCCCGCTCTTTTGTCACCTGTATAATGGGAATAATGGCTTTCATTTCAGAGGGTTGTGGTCAAGATGATTACAATTGCAAGTTAATTCTTCTGAGCCACTGTTGGGGTTTGAATTCACAGCCACTATGTACTTTGCAGCTGGTCGTTTCTCTTATTACAATTGTCGCCCAGACGATCTTAGTCACCCAGAAGGAATTTTTAATGTTACTATATATTCAGCATTTACTATATAGCAGTGTTCTAACCCCATGCTAAGCACTTTACATAAATGATCTCATGTACTCCTCACAAAAACCTATTACTGTTCCTGTTGCAGAAATGGAAGTAGAGAGAAGCTAAACTTTATTTCTGGCTCCACTGTGTTTTCTTTACCGGCCTTGCTTTCTTTTTTTCAGCTGTTCTTTCTAATTGGCTGTTCATGTTCTCTTAAGCCACCTTCAAGACTAAAGCAACAGCTAACTGAATACATTTATATAACATGTTAATTCTGTCATCTTGCTCTCTACCCTTGGAGATCTGCTCTAAATTCACTTGGGTATTTGAGGATAAATCATGCTCACCGGCAATTTCTGGAAAGCACTGGAAAAACAGCCACCCTGAAATTTTCTAAGCAACTAAAAGCTTATGAATTTCCATTATATTCATTGAAAACAGCATTTATATTTACGCTTAGAAAAACAGAGTTATTATCAAGAACTCTTACGCAGAAGCATATGCTTGTAGATCGTCACTAATAATCAACTGTGTATACGATGTATATGACCTTGTCATGATGCTGTCCTCAAATGCCTTGCTGCAGAATTCTAAGTTACCAGGAGGGTTAAATTCAGCAAACTTTTTGTTAATGCGCCTTTTAATTGTGAAATACTATAATTGCCTTAGAGAAACTTTTAAAAGTATTTTTTTTAAAGCGATGTGGTATTAGAGAAAGGATTGCTTTTTTCAGACCAGATTCAACACTCAAATCTACTCATTATTTACCGGCACAATTGAACATTTTGAACCTCCCATTTTTTCTATAAAATGGAAATGCTATATTACCAAGTTTCTGTGCGTTAAATGAGAACAGCGTCTGATCATAACAGCCAGTCAGCAAATGTTAGTAATTTCTCTTCCCTTGGAAAAGAATCTCAAGGCAGATGTGCTTCAAGTCTGTCCTGTAAAGAGCAAGGAATCCTCTGCTTCAGTAAAGTCCTGCCCAAACTCCATTAGTAATAGACTCGTTATTTTCAAACAAACGTATTGTACTTTTGTACATTGTACCCTCAAAACACGTATACCCGTTTCAGAGGATCCATGGACCACCATTGCCTATCCTTTGATCCAAATTAAAAATGCCTGCTCTAATGTATTAATTCTGACTTCACCAAATCCTCTTACAAAACAAGGTTATCTTTTAAAAATAAAATTCTTTTGGTATCTTGCAGTTCCATGAAGGAAAACTGAAGGCCTTTATTTTTATTATTTTTTAAATAAAATTTTATTTTTAAATGTATGTTTTCTTGATTTCAAAGAAGAAGGGAGAGGGAGAGAGAGACAGAAACATCAATGATGAGAGAGAATCATTGATTGGCTGCCTCCTGCATGCCCCACACTGGGGACTGAGCCCACAATCCAGGCATGTGCCCTGACTGGGAATCGAACCATGACCTCTTAGTTCCTAGGTCAACGCTTAACCACTGAGCAACACTAGCCAGGCCAGGCCTTTATATTTAATAGCTTTGGAAAAATGCCGTGTTAGAACAAAACCTCGTAGTAGACAATTAAGTAAATTTGCACAGAAACTTCATTGAAGGATTGATCTGACTTGCCACATATTTTGTACAACCTTTTAAAACACACAAGTTAATGCTTACTGCTGAACCTAGCTCTAAATGAGCAAAGAAAAAATTAGAATGATGATAAATCTATAAGTTCATTTACATAATTGTGGACATACCATTTTTACATATTACATCATTAGGACATTGGACAATAGATCAAGGAACAGGATGTTGTAGAAAACATACTTTATTAGTAAGTATCATGCACTTCTTTCAAAAGTGTTGACTTCAAGGTGGCTCCTTGGCACGGAGAGCTCCGTGGAATCACCTACCTAATCCTGAGCTTGGCTGTATTGCTGCTAGCGGTAATCAACTTGTTTGGGGACCTGCTTTAGATTTCTTCATACATCTGCCAACACCAAACAGTTGAGCTGGCTCTGTCCCACTCTTTGGGGAGTAATTTTTCCCCAATGCTTCAGTTGTTGTTTATATAAATCCTTCCAGAGGGATAAAAGCTCTTGAGAATTCATTGCTTATGTGAACAAGTGCCGTGGGAGAGAATGCTATTGGGAAAGGGGCCACGTTTGCTTTCTGTCCCCACTTTTGTGATATGACAACCTATCTCTCCACATGGGTTTGAAACACCAGATCATGTGGAAACAATGAATGGAGTTGCTACTCGGTAATGGTTAAGTGTCATGTGACTGCGAACTCATTTGATTACTACCTAGTGGCCACAGAAAGGACTACTACAGGATCCCTCCAGTGTGGACCACTGATATTTGCATCTGTCCTTAAACTTTACTGTTTCCTTATCTGCCAAATAACGTACATAGAGTTCAAAAGTGAAGCTCCCTCTTAACATTTTTAACTGCCTTACTTTCTCGATTTCTTCTTAATGTTAATGTCACCTCTGTTCTCCCTAGAAGGCAAATTGCAAGTTCAGAGCTCACTTTAGGCTTTTCTCTCTCCCAGCCTTGAGGTAACCAAGTCCCATGCATTCTTCCTTTTACATTCTTAAAATTCATTATTTCCTTTCTTTTTTCTTTTCTCCATGGCCACTGTTCCAGTTTGGGGCCTACCCCCTCAAACCTGGGACACAGCAACAATCTCTCTGCCTTGAGTCTCTTTTCCCTTTTGTCCAGCCTCCACACTGCTATCAAATCAATCTTGATAAATGACCACTGGTTGTGGCTGCAGGCTACATTCTCCCACCTCAACATCTTCAATAGATTTCCCACCCCACACTGTAAGTAAAAAATATTGAATCTGGCCTCAACATGCCTTCCCAGCCGTGGGCACACAGGTCTATCTGTTTGTGACACTCACTGTACTATCCTTCCTCATTCCCGCGTTCTTGCTCACACTATTTCCAAGCCCCCTGCTTCCTTCCTCTCCAAATTGGGCACACAGGTCTATCTGTTTGTGACACTCACTGTATTCCTTCCTCATTCCTGCGTTCTTGCTCCTTCCATTTCCAAGCCCCCTGCTTCCTTCCTCTCCAAAGCACACCCCATTTTCCAATCCCAGCTCAAGCCCATGAAGATTTCTTGGGTCCTCACTGTTCACAATGATCTCATGTATCAAAGAAATTCTAATAGTGGAGTGTTCAAAAAGTTAATAATCAATTAACTAACTACCCCTTGATATTTTGTGTATAGTTGTCTCAGAATAAGGTTAACTTAAATAGTATTGTTTATTGAGTGCCTTGCATATTTAGCCATGTTGCTAGGTTTTACTTGAAGGCAGGAATTGTATAATATCCATTTGGTTTCCCCTAGAGCAGTGGTTCTCAACCTTTCACCTGGTATAGAAACATCTGGAGAACACGTTAAAAATCCTCCTGGATTCCACCCCCAGAGGTGCAGTAAGATCTGAGTAGGACCCAAGTATCTGTTTTTCCAAGAAGTTCGAAGTGCTGCTGCTGCTGCTACGGCTGGGTGCTTTCAAGCGTCTCACGCTGCACGTAAAAGCTAATCTGTACTTACGGATACTCAGTAGTGAGGTTTTTCTCTTTTCTCCCATTTCAACTTCACATTCTGTCACTTCTTCTTCCTTTTAGATTGATTTTGAAGATGTGATTGCCGAACCAGAAGGAATCCACAGTTTCGACGGCATCTGGAAGGCCAGCTTCACCACCTTCACTGTGACGAAATACTGGTTTTACCGCTTGCTGTCGGCCATTGTGGGCATCCCCCTGGCACTTCTCTGGGGCATTTACTTCGCCATTGTTTCTTTCGTGCACATCTGGGTAGTTGTGCCATACATTAAGAGTTTCCTGATTGAGATTCAGTGCTTCAGCCGTATCTATTCCATCTGCATCCACACCCTCTGTGACCCACTGTTTGAGGCTACTGGCAAAATATTCAGCAATGTCCGCATAAGTGTACAGAAAGAAATATAAATGACATTTCAAGGATAGAAGTATTCCTGATTCTTTTTTTTTTCCCTTTGAATGTTCTTGGTGCCAATATCAAGTTTTAAGTTGCTAGTACAGCAACAATATATGAGTGAATTTTCTTGGTTCATAACAAAGAAATCACTCTCTTAGTTTTCATAACTATTATGTGTCTCTTCTGAGCTATTTCATCTAATTTTTTTTTTGGTCTAAATTTTTAAACCCACTTAAAATGTTTTCCTTGCATTTTTATTTGCATGTGGGGTCATTATTTTATTGCCTGAGATATGAACAAGAGAAATATGAAGAACCAGTGACCTCAACTGCCTATTCTAAAATGTTGACCATTTTATGGTAAGGGAAGAATTCCGGGCTATGGCCATTTGTTGTACAAATATGTGGCTGGTTTTAAACAAATTCTTCCCTTACCATCTGCAGTGTTAGTGGATTGCTGTCACTGATTTTAATGATCCAATGGGATCAATGATATTTATCAAATTAGAAAACCTACTCTGCATTCACACAGTCTGACTGCCTTACCCTTCTTAAAATGTGATACTCTCTGTCCTGAATATTTGTTACATAGATAATGAGACTTAAGTGCCTTCCTGTTCATCATACTTTCCTTCTCAAATGGGGTCTTGCTGGTCAGTTTTCGTTAAGTCAGCAACCTCTCTGGAGACCAACATTAGAGAATCCATTACCTAGTTCTCCACACTTGTTTCTGACTCTGAGAAGAGAGTCAGATGAAGTTCCTGTCTGCACCTGATCACACACCTTCTTTATCCATATCGAGTATGGTCCATCTCAGCCAATGAGATGAATTAAGGAGGACCAATGGGGCCGAGTCCTCTCTGGACCGGCAGGCGTGGAAGCCAGCTTTCCTGCCTCTCTTCAGCTGAATGAGGTCAGCATGTCTATTCAGCTTCATTTATTTCCAAGAATAATCACACTTTCCTGACTCCAAACTAATCCATCACCGGGTGTTTTAGTGGCCGAACATTGTGTTCCCTTTTCAGCTGATCGGTGGGCCTCCGGGGAAAGGCTCATAAAATGGGGGCCATTGTGTGAGCCTGTCAGAGTTGTCACACATGTGACCCCTTCAAAGTAAAGCACTGGCAACCTCCTGTTATGCTGTGACACGTGGCCCCGCTACCTGCCAGGAGCTTTGGACCTAATCCACGCATCACTCTGCTCAGAGAGAAGATGGGGGAGGAGGCGGTCATACAAGATTGGGATCGTTTTGCTGGAATAAATTCAAATTCTTCTAAACTCAAACTGAGGAATGTTACCTGTAAACCTGAGTCACACAGAAAGCGGCCTGGTACACCCGAACGCTTTTTATTCCTCCTGCTCATAGTAAGACTCTGCCCTTGGGGAACTGATGTTTAACCTTCAGGGATGCTTTCACTTTTAGTTTCACACACTTGTTGGAACTCTGCTTGATGGGTTTTTTGTTTGTTGGTTGGGGTTTTTTTGTGTTTATTTTTGCCTCTTCCAGTTTTTCTGACACTTTACTTACCAACTTGTTCCCGACTTTGATGCTTTGCATTTAAAACAGACACTGGCATGGACATAGTTTAAATTCTTCTAAACTCAAACTGAGGAATGTTACCTGTAAACCTGAGTCACACAGAAAGCGGCCTGGTACACCCGAACGCTTTTTATTCCTCCTGCTCATAGTAAGACTCTGCCCTTGGGGAACTGATGTTTAACCTTCAGGGATGCTTTCACTTTTAGTTTCACACACTTGTTGGAACTCTGCTTGATGGGTTTTTTGTTTGTTGGTTGGGGTTTTTTTTGTGTTTATTTTTGCCTCTTCCAGTTTTTCTGACACTTTACTTACCAACTTGTTCCCGACTTTGATGCTTTGCATTTAAAACAGACACTGGCATGGACATAGTTTTACTTTTAATCTGTGTACATACTGAAAATGTACTACACTGCGTACTTTTTAAGTGTAAAGATATGCTTCTCTCTATGTGAGGAAGATCACTTGGGAAAAGGCTTTGTGATTCACCCTGTAAACTGTGTATCCCAAGGCGTGTCTGTTCTACATATATGCTTAGTTTCCTGTGCAAATCAAATGCTGGCCCGAAAGATTGCTGACATTTTATATGCTTACTGATATATTTTACACTTTTTTATTCTGCATGGCCTGTAAAGGTTATAAGTCTACACAATAAAAATGTTTAACAGTTCTACAGTCAGCTTTATTATTCCCCCCCCCCAAAACAAATACATACATGTCAGGGCCTGTGTAGTACATAGTGTGTGTACATGTTTGTAGGGTGTTTGTGGGAGGGTGTAGTCTTCCACTTTTCAAATATTGTAGTCATTTAAGTGGGATCTTTCTCCTAAGGCCATTGCCTTTCATGAGTTACTTTAGAGAAAAGTTATAATTCATAAGAAAGATTTGTTTAGCAGTTTACCCAATGCTTTATTATATGTCATCTAACTTGAGCCCCTATAACTTTGTGTGCTGGATATTAATATTCTCGTTTAGTCAATGATGCATTCAGGGAGTATGCCTTGAATTTTGCCCTGTCGTAACTAGAATTTCTATAAAGGCATATTTTAGAAACAATTTATTTTTTGGCCTTGGGTAAGTTTGGGTAAGTTTAAAAACAGAGTTTCTGTATTGGTCAAAGTTCTCTAGAGAAATAGAACCAATAAAATGTATGCATATAAAATATATATGAATATGTAAGGAATAGTATGTATTTAAAGAGGTTTATTATAAGAAATTGGTTTGCACAATTTATAGAGGCGAAGAAGCCTCAGCATCTGCAGGATGAGTCAACAAGCTGGAGACGCAGAGAGTCACAGTCCAAAAGAGGGCATGCACCAGCCCAGGGAAAGCTGACGTTTCAGTGTTAGTTCAAATGCAGCAAAAAAAACAAACACACACACAGACACACAACAAACAAACAAACAAACAAACAAAAAACTCACAATGTTCCAGTTCAAAGTCAGTCAGGCAGGAAGAATTTATCTTACTTAGAAAAAGATCAGCCTTTCTGTACTATTCAGTCCTTCAACTGATTGGATGAGGCCCACCCACACTAAGGAGAGAAACCCGCTTTACTCAGTCTACTGATTTAAAAGTTAATCTCACCCAGAAACACCCAGAATAATGTTTGGCTGGATATCTTGGCATCCTAGTCGACGTGCATAATTAATCATCACAGTTTCCAAACACAATTTTGCAAAGGTAGTCTAATTTCTCTCACTCTGAAATTTCTTTCATGTGGTCCCCTCTCTTCGCTGGGCTCTCAAGAAAGCACTAAGTCTGCTTATTTAGTAACCCTGTCTGGTATTTCTGTTAAAAATCCATTTCTAGTTTGCAGTGTGGAGATGTGCTTCTGACTCAGACCTTCTCTGATGCAGGTGCTGATATTTAAATGTCTGGCTTATAAATTATAATTCGTATTTATAAAATTGGGAGTGGAGAGGAGAGGTAGAGAAAGACACTTAACGTAACACAAAAGAGTGAACGGCAATCATGAAAAAAATGTATTAGTAATGAAATAATAAAAATCAAAGCAATGAGATATAATTTTGCTTACGGTTGCAGTGAACAAAAGTAAAAATAGTACCCAGGTTGGTGAGGGTGCAGGGAAGCAAGCACATTCATCAGTGCTTTGGTGAGTGCAGTTGGTACAAGTGTTCTGGGGAACAATTAAATGTACACATGATGGATCCAACAATGTCACTTAATAAAAACAACAGAGGCATACCAAGGTTCATCATCAGGGGTGCTCATTAGTTGAGCGTCAATACTAGAAAATATTGGAAACAACATATTCAGAAATATGGAAACAGTTAAATAAAGGATGGTATATACATTTAATAGGCTACTAAATAGGCTTTAAAATATTTTTATGTAGTAGAACATTTAATGACATAGGAATATGTTTATTTTTTACATTTTTTAAAATTTTATCTTTATTGTTGAAAGTATTATAGATGTCCCTTTTGTTTGTTTATTTCCCATTGATCCCTTCCACCCCACACCTGTCCCTCCCAGGCCTTCACCACTATATTGTCTGTGTCCATGGGTTTATGTTATAATGTTAATTTTAAAAGTAAAGTTAAAAACTGTATGTGAAATATGCTGCTACTTTTTTGTTTAAAAACAAATGGAGGGCGGGGAGGAATCATTATATCATTTCCCAGAGCTCAATAGGCATTTTCCAGGCGGTATGTCATTTATACAAGATTTCAAACTGGAATTGCTGTCCTAATTTCACAAATGAGATACAGGCTTAGAGATCACCAATTACATACCATAAGCATTGGAGCTCTTATTTAATCTGGGTGAGTCTGAGACCAAAGCCCTGATCCTCCCTCTTCTTGATCCTCCTGCTCTGTGTGATTTCTGAGCCCTAAGCTTGCCTCCTCTTCTGAAGGCTTCCTTTTCCTGCTGGCATGTGAAATCATAATCAGCAAGTAATGTGAGCAGAATTGGAGTAAACTTCAGCAATAGTTACATAATAGTAGTTAAAACGGAATAATCTCTGCATGCCAAGCATTATTCTATATATTTTAATGTATTTGTTCATTTCATCTTCCCAATAACCCTAGAATAACCCTAGGTGGCATGTATTATCATTATCATCTCAGCTGTATGGATAAGACATTTAGGCACAGAGAAGTCAAATAATTTGCCCAAGGTCACACAGCCAGTAATTGACATGGAGACTGGCTCAGAGTCTGGAATCTGAACCACAGCAATCAACAACA